TTTTTTTTTTTTTTTTTTTTTTTTTTTTAAATAGACGCACGAATACCCATTTTATCATACAATAAAAGAAAAAAATTAACCACCATCATGTACAATCTCGTAATTCTTCAAACTCGGCGATTATAATCTCCATGAGGAAAACCAATTTCAAGGGAGAGGTCAAAATATCAACAGTGTAAATAGAATAACTGTACCCTGAAACGATTTAGGATGGCTTGTTTGGCTGTGCCTTCTTTCTGGCCAGAAACATGAGAATTCGAGGGAAAAATGATTTCTTCTTTTTCTTCCCTGTTTTGGATTCTGAGAACGAATCCATTGAAGTAAGGCTTCTTTGCATATCTGCCTTGGGGCTCGAGGCATCAGTAACCATGGCGTCAGATGAGCCGACTAAATTCGATGGATCGTTCTTCCCCTCAAAACTGGCCCTTGGACTGCGAATGGGGTTCATTAATCCAGTGCCAGAGTCACCAGCCTTCCTTCGTTGTTCGTGCTCGGCTCTCCATTTTCGCAACTCCTGCTCAACGCCCAACTTCCCTTCCTTGGCCTTCTCAGCCTTCTCCATGGCAATTTTTAGTGCTTCCTTTCTGGTAGCCATTTCCTGGATTACTGCTTCCAGTTTATCCAAGCTTCTTGACTCGGATTCCTTGGCTAGCTCAATCTGTGACAGTGCGTCTGCCACTCTAAGGTTGGCTTGTTCCTCTGCCTCGTGAGCACACTTGCTAAGCTCATAGTACTCCTCTAGTGACAGTGTAACTCCTGCGGGTGAGTTCGCGTTGTTGGTATCTCTGGCCGATTCGCTCTCTTCTAATGCCTTGATTGCGGCCAACGCCAATCTTTCTGAAGCCTTTGCAGCCTCAATCTCTTTCTGAGCAGCAAGCAATCTACTCTTCATGGTACTCGCTCCAGCCTTTGCTTGCTCTGCCTCCTCTTTTGTTTTGCACAGCTCCTCCTGAGCCTCCTGAGCCAGTGATTTGGCCTGATCGGCTTCTTGTGCTGCTTGCTGTAATTGTTTAGGCAACTCCACCATCGTTTCCCTGGCCTCTTTCTCCCTCATTTGAACTAAAGCTATTTCTGACCTGGTTCTTTCCACTTCAGCTTCAAGAGATGCAACTGCTATAGATGCCATTCCTTCTCTTTGCCTCAAGTTGACTAGATCAGATTTCTCCTTTTCAAGCTCTGTTTTCAATGATGTTGCGGCCACCTTTAAGCAGTTTATTTCAGAAGTTGATTTCTCAATGTTGAGTTTCACTTCCTTAAGTTCCTGCTTTGCTGAAGCAACTGCTGCTTGTATATCTGTACGTGTTTTCTTTTCGGGATCCTCTGCCTCGCTTTTTGTGTTACCATCATTATCAGGCTCCTCTTCCAGTTTTGATTCCATATAAGCTGCTAATTCAGCTTTTAAATCTATTAGCAAATTCGAGGCAGTATCCAGTTTTGATTTCAGATTCTTCGCTGATATAATTTTCTGATTGAGACTCTGAAGTTCTGCTTCAGCCTGCTTCAATTCTTTCTCCCAGTTAAGAGAATCTTGCTCTCTGGCCATGGCTGCACCTATTCTTTGCTCCTCTGCCTCCAAATGAGTAGCATGTGCAGACTCTAACGACTCCTTAGTGGCCATAAGCTCAATAGTTAGATCTTCCACTGCCTTCTCAACTTCCTTGGAGGCAGCCACAGCATCTTCAGCTTTAGCCAAAGCTGCATTCTTATCTGCGACCAAAGAAGCAAACTCCCTATAAAGTGTTTCCAATTCCTCTCTGACAGCTTTAAGCTCTGAAACTGCATCTACGTGCCTGGCTTTAGCAACCTCAAGCTGCGCCTTGGCAGCTACACTAGACTCCTCAGCAATTCCTTGCTCCATCTCTTCAACCCTGAGTTTCGCAAGCTCGGAGTCTTGCCTTGCTTGATGCTCTTCTGTTTGTGCCCTCTCTAGATTAAGCTTTAATTCTTCTATCAATCGCTTAGTACTATCTAGCTCCTTTAGAACTTGTTTTTTTCCCTCTTCAGCAGCCTCTGACTGTCTCCTGTACTCCGGAATCTCCTCGTTTAATTTCTCAAGTTCTTGCTCCACAACTTTGCGTCTCTGTAACATTTGAAAGATAGAACTATAAGCTAAATCAGAAAAATCATTTGAATTTAGTCCGAGACATGAAAAAGAACAAACGTGCACCATGGGGATTGAGTGAATTTGGTTATAGTTAGAAATAAACCCAATCAAGGACAATCAAGTTGAACACGTTTCACAGAAGAAAGTGTCCCTCTATTTAAAATATTTTTGAAGAATTAAAGAAGAATTTAGAATATAATTGTGAAATGGTGCGACACAACCTGTCACGAGCATCATGAAAGAAACAAACACTTCACACTTTCAACTCACTGTCCCCAAATTACCATCATTGTGAGTATTCACAACTAAAATCCTAAATTACATGGTATACTTTCATTGATTCTTAACACCATGTTGCATTTTCGAAATATGCTGTTATAACAGCACTGAGTAGCTGCATTAGATACTATATGCAATAACTAATGAGAAACACTTGTCTTTTGCTCCTACACGTTCAATACCATGACAAAGAAATTTATACCCTTTTCACGACACTAGCAAAAGACACAATTACGGTATCTTTTCAGTCAATATTAAGAATGGCTAACCCACTCCAATGCATGTAAATGGTGCCACAATATTTAAAAAGCGAAAGGATCACAGTAGTCTTGTAGTAAGTTATACCTCAACTGTTTGGATTCGATGAGCTTTCCAATCAACAATCCCACCAAACTTAGAAACGGCTTCTTTAACAGATTCAAATGGTGCAGTTGTATCAATAAGGCCTCTGTTAATATCACTTTGCTTAACATCTTTTGAAGAATCAACAGATTCAGGTTTTCCACCTGAAACTCTCACGCCCTCTGCAAGCCCATCTGCAGGTTCGACATCCTCATTTTTTATAACCACTGTCTCAGAAGGCATAATGACATCATTAACAGTAGCAGAGTCACTACAGACTGAAGATTGTTCCGGAGGAAGTTCCTCAGGCATAATGACCTCATTGGCATCATTGACAGTAGCAGAGTCACCATGGACGGAAGATTGTTCCTGAGGAGGTTTCTCAGGCATAATGACCTCATTGGCATCATTGACAGTAGGCACAATGACCTCATTGGCATCATTGGCAGTAGCAGAGTCACCATGGACGGAAGATTGTTCCTGAGGAGGTTTCTCAGGCATAATGACCTCATTGGCATCATTGACAGTAGCAGAGTCACCATGGACGGAAGATTGTTCCTGAGGAGGTTTCTCAGGCATAATGACCTCATTGGCATCATTGACAGTAGCAGAGTCACTATGGATTGAAGATTGTTCCTGAGGAAGTTTCTCTGGCATAATGACCTCATTGACATCATTAACTGTAGCAGAGTCACTATGGACTGAATGTTGTTCCTGAGGAAGTTTCTCAGGCATATCTTCTACTGATTGAGTTCTGGGGTCTTCCATCAAGGTATTTGAATTGTGTTCCTCAAATCTATCATCTGGAACTGTAGTACTCATACCTGAATTACTTAATGTAATAAGTTCATCTTTATTCATATTCGCATCACTAGGAGCATCTTCTATGGTTGATGATAAAGAATTTTCAGCTATTGGCTGTTGACTTTTAGATCGCAGTGTTGCATCAACTGGGCTTGAAGAGCATTCAACATCACCTTCCAATTTTTCATTACCAACAGCATTTGAGAGAACTTGGCTCTGGTTCGTAATTCCATTGTTAACTAGGTGGTTTGGATCCTCTTCATGAACAAGACTACCATCTTGGGAGATTAACGAGGATTGTGAAGAAGATATATGATCAGCTAATTTCACATTGTCCATCAAACAGCGTTAAGAAAAGTGCCAGAGGATACCTGTAGATGAACTGAAACCATACAAACACAAAGCACCCAAAACCGTAAGCTTTCAAATCCTGTATTTTAAAATTAACAAAACAGCAACTTTAGGAAACTACAGTCATAAGCAAAATGCATTCATGCCAACAATAAATCAGTGGACAAGGAGTAGCAGATTCACACACCATTAACATCAACACGATGCATCCAAATCAAAGGTAAAAAACTGAAGTGATAAACATTCTCAGATTTTTTTTGTCCAGATTCAAAACTACACCATTGTTTTAACATTTTATTTTGCACCATTTTTCAGTCTACTCACCGAGGTAGTTTAAACTAGAATAATTAATTCCTTGTGTTTGAACAATTAATCAATGGGGAATGCAGAAGTTCAACTTTCCTCAAATGCTTCTGAATAAACATTGGCATTAAGATAAAATGTCAAAAAGAAAAAACAGAAGAAATTAAAATTGAATTTTGCAATAAACGTTCAGTTGCAGGTGAACATTCCAGTAAAAGAGAAAACACTTGATATCAGGTAGATATTGAAAAAAGAAAAAAGCTTTTTCGTTTGCCAATGTGAACAAATATAGCTACTACCAGCGGTCAGGTTATATCATAAAAAAAACTGGTTGCACATTTTGATCAATATTCAACATAAAGTTAAAGCAAAGCCTTATAAGACAACAAAAAATAGATTCATAAAGCAGTTCTATCAGAATTCATTACCAATTGTCATTTTTTGTTCACTAATTCTTTTGGTTCAATGTCACTAATATACTCCATACATATCATTTAATCAAAAACAATGATCCTAGTATTTCCTATTCTAGCAAAAAGATCCATCTGAGCAGTAGTTAATCAGTCGCCATTATAAATATGGTATATTCACTAGTGCCTATATATACTGCTATGCAAGAGGCACACGATTTCGCATACACTAAAATATTTAAGGTAATTCTTCAAAATTCTCTCCATTTTGAGCTTAATTGAAGCGCCTTTTATTCGATCCATGAGATCAAAGGTTTGACCGGTCTGAATAGACCAATCTAAACCGTCTAATTATTTCTGCCACACCAATGTATTTCCCCGAAGACGCAATAAATACTTCCGGTACACCAAAAGGATGCGCGTTTCAAGATCCTTTACATAGAGTTCGTAAGCCTTACGTTTCAATACTAAGAGCAGTTGGAATTTAAACATAAAAACGACCAAAACTGGAAAATAATTAACGTAAACGGCCAGTCCACGTATCCGAAAAACCTCTTCTGCTTTACAATAAGGAGAAAACAGATATAGCAACTACGCGCTTCCGCGTTCCATCCCGCCTATAGCAGCCGGATTCCATATAGAAAAGCAAAATAACGAAACTCCAAAAAATTCACCGTCCAATTGAATAACAGCAACGAAAGGCAAAATTCAACATCATACACCAATTGAATGATGCCGAATAAGGAAATTCAGTATGCGAAATCACACAACTCTTGCACAGCGGTAGATATCAGCGCATCGAAGAAATCAGATACTAAACATAAAAGAATCAACAGAAAGAACAGCACATAGGTAGAAGGTAGAACGGAGACAGAGTATCCAAACAAACGAAACAGATTAAAGCTGCGAGTTGACAGAATCGAAACGAAAACGAAGAAAGAGAGAGAGAGAGAGAGAGGAGAAGAAGAGAAGTATACCGTAAGAACGCAGCCGAAGAAGAAGAAGAAGAAGAAGCAGAGAAGAAGAGATGGAAGAGGAGTCAAGAGAGAGGAAATGAAAAATTATGATCAGAAATTGGGAAAAGGAAATACAGAAAAGAAACTAAGTAAAATAATTAAACAGAAAAATAAAAATAAAAAAAAGAAAAGGATTATGGAAAGGAAAATCCAAGGCGAGAAGTTTTGAGAGCTAAAATTAGGATGAGAAAAAGTGGGGGCCGGTATGCGTCCGTGGAGCCCACCCCCCTCCCACAGACCATCACCCATCCATCCATCTTCTCCCTTTTTTTCCTTTTCTTTTTCTAAAATATTATTATTATTTCTTCCAATTCCTGGAACTGATTTGATGTAAAATTGTTAAAAGGAATCCAACACATCCGTCCGGGTTTGACACACAAAATTGAGTTGTTTTTTTTTTTTTTTTTTTTTTTTTTAA